CTTTCAATGTAACAAAATGTGTGGGGAAAATAGTATTATTTATAATGCAAATATTTCCCAAGTCCTTTCAATGTAACAAAATGTGTGGGGAAAATGGTATTACCATCCTTTGCCCTGAAGATACCAGCCTCAGAATGCATTCTGCAAAGCTAAAGAAAACGGCCCGAGGCTGGTGGAGTCAATCCTGAAGCGAATCTCGGAAAGAAACCTTGGAAGTGCCCTGGTCCAAATTTGGAGGCTGGTCCTTCTTAGAACGTGTCCACTTCAAGCCATTCCCCGTCATGTCAGAAGCTGAGTGTTACCAGAAACGAGGACAGATGTATCTCTCCTTTATGGGGCACATAGGTATGTGACAAGATCATGGCATCTCTCTTTTTTTTTTCTGATTATAGTAGTAACACATGCTCATAATAGAAAAATACAAAATGTAGTTTGTAATTTTTTTTCCTCGGTGTCGTTAAATATTTTCCTATGTCGTGAAATGCTTTTTGAAAATCTCATTGTAATGGCTGCGTAACGTTCCACTTTTAAACCCATTCTTTTATGCTAAGACATGTGTTTCCTTTTTTTTTTTTTTTCTGTTTTAAAGTGAAACAAAATAGATGAACATAGGGGAAAGGAAAAAAAGAGAGAGGGAAGGAAGCAAACCATAAGAGACTCTTAACTCTAGGAAACAAACTGAGGGTTGCTGGAGGGAGTCGGGGAGGTGGGGTAACTGGGTGATGGGCATTACGGAGGACACGTGATGCAATCAACACAGGGTGTTGTATGTAACTGATGAATCACTGAATTCTCCTAAAACTAATATTACACTATGTGTTAAGTAATGCAAATTTAAATAAAAACTTGAAATATTTTTTAAACAGTGAGTATAGTGAACATTTTGCACATTAACCCTCATTCAGATTTCTGAGTTTCTGGGTCAAGGGGAAAGTCACTTCATTTGTTGAAACATGCAGTTGAGAGGCTCATGACCCCATGCCACCGTTTTCCATGCCAGCATACGGTACTTTTGTAGAGGAGATAAAATGGTGACAAATATTTGTTTTGAACTGAAAGCGTAAAATTTAAAAAATTGAGATTTGACGTTTAGCTTTTGCTACTGCCGTGGCCCAGGCCTATAGCCTTGGGCAAGTCCCTTTGACTCTATGGGCCACACCATTTTTAAACAATTCAAGCTTATACAGAGGGAACGTACTATAAAAGCAGTATGCTAAGTCTTTTCCCTTCTTCTATGGAATAACAATTTTTTTCCTTTCCATATTCTCTATTCTTGCGTAGCACAAAGTATGGCAGTCACACAGCTGGGAAACTGCTGATTGCTCGCCAGGGTTTGCATCTGGGACCCTGGCCTGTCACTGCAGTGTTTTGCCAGTGGTGAGAATCCAGCAGACGCCCACCAGTCCAAGAGCAGGTGGAAGGGAGGTTTAAAGGCAGAGACATCAGGTTTCAGGGCTCCTTCTGTGTTTCTCCCTTATTCCAAATCACCAAGATGTAAGCAGTATACACTGACATCAGAATCCCATGCTCAGAAATACATCCTGAGACCCAGAACAGTCATTTCCTCCATGAGCTACCTGAACAGGATCCGAGAAGTTTCCACACCTACAAAGTGGGGGAGTACCAGACTACCTACATCTTAGAGTTGTCCTGAGACTCAACATAAAAATGAAACCATATATGTGGCTTAAATAAACCCTAAAACTCAAATAGTCGCATTAAATAACGCATTAAATAAATTAACCATTAAATAAACCCTAAACCCCAAATAATCACAAACTATTATTATGGCCATTACCAAGGGGCTGGAGTGCGTTGGGAGTAAATACAAAGAAAATAGAGGGCATCTCCCTGCTGTTATGCAACCTTGTGGTTTACTTATAATGATCAATACAACAGAGAGTCTAGAATTTTCCAAGTATATTTGGCCCCAGAACTTTTGATTTGTATTACATCTAATAACACCCACACATTAGGAAACATGGGTTTTGTGGTTTGATTTCACATAGAATGTAAGGTCTACAAAGGCAAGCACTTTGTTTTGTACCCTGCTGTCTCTTCAGGGCATAGGAGAGCTGCCTGCACATGATAGGTACTCAATAAAATTTATATTCATTGCATAATGAATATACTTTCCATTAAGCTAATTTGAAAATAGCCTCTGAAAATAGTTTGCATAGCGAAGTGAAACATGGGTTTTTATGCTCTGCTAGTAAAAGTGTAAATAGGTTAAAACTTTTGAAAAGCAGGAAGTATGGTGAAGAAGTAGACTGGTAGAGAACTTCTAAAGTGCTCCCACCCTCTCACCAACTTGTGGGGCTTCTGGAAATCTATTTGGATGTCATTCTAAGTATGAAAAAAAAAAGTTTGCATTTAAGATACTCAGGAGATGTAGTACTGTTTAAAATGGAAAAAAAAAAAAACACCTGGGAACTATCTGAATTATGTTCAAAAATCATTGAATAATTAAGATACAGAATATCCACTTGATGGGTTATCCTGCAGTCATAACATGCTTATGAAAATTATATAACTTAGAAATATTCTTATACTGTGAGCAAATATTCACAAACCATATCTGATTTAGTATCTTTTTTTTCTTGTATTAAGGGAAAAGGCAAGAAACTAAATTATATACGAATTGTAATCCATATATGTAACAAAAACAAATGCAAAATAAAGAACTAACACTGGGGGCGCCTGGGGGGCTCAGCCCTTAAGCGTCTGCCTTTGGCTCAGGTCATGATCCCAGGGTCCTGGAATCGAGCCCCCCAACCGGCTCCCTGCTCAGCGGGAAGCCTGCTTCTCCCTCTCCCTCTGCCGCTCCCCAGGCTTGTGTTCCCTCTCTCGCTGTGTCTCTGTCAAATGACTAAATTAAAAAAAAATCTTAAAAAAAAAACTAACACTGAGTGTTACTCCGTCAGGCAATTGTTCTAAATACTTTACATATATTTAACTTCTTTATTTTCCTAATAATCTATAATAGTCGTTATAATACTGAAAAAATGCTGGGAGATAACACACCCAAATATTGACAACAGCTGTCTCTGAGTAATCGAGAAGACAGCAATTACGTTCCTTGCATTTTTCTGCATTTTTACAAGTTTTTCGTAATGATGAGAAAACTGCACTCTAAAAGGGTAAATTAATGAATTAAACTGTGTTCGTATAATATATCTGAACAGGAAAAAGGTTTTTAATTGACCACAGGACCCCTTTATTTCAACCAGGGAACTCCGACCCGTGCTCTGCTCGCCAGTTCTCTCCTATACAGAAGAGAAAAATAAGAGCAAGCTCCATTAGGGTGAAATCGGTTGAAAATCGGCTGTTTTTATGAATGCAGAGAAACTGGCCAAGGCTAGTGTTGGGTTTTCAGTTTCAATGTCACACTTGCTCAGACCCCAACATAATCTGGGATAATCACTCTGCCCTACCCAGAATCGAGAATTTAGGAAACAAACTGAGGGTTGCTGGAGTGGTGGGGGGTGGGAGGGATGGGGTAGCTGGATGATAGACATTGGGGAGGGTATGTGCTATGGTGAGCGCTGTGAATTGTGTGGGACTGTTGAATCACAGACCTGTACCTCTGAAACAAATAATACATTATACGTTTAAAAAAAGAAGATAGCAGGAAGGGAAAAATGAAGGCGGGGGGAATCGGAGGGGGAGAGGAACCATGAGAGACTATGGACTCTGAGAAACAAACTGAGGGTTCTAGAGGGGAGGAGGTGGGGGATGGGTATTGGGGAGGGCGCACATTGAAGGGAGCACTGGGGTGGTGCGCAATTAATCATGGAACACTACATCGAAAACTAATGATGTAATGCTTGGTGATTAACATAACATAATAAAATTAAATTTAAAAAAAAAGAATTTAGGCACTAGAATCTCACATGCCCTCACAAACAAACGAGTCAGTGGTGAGATGAGGGAAGAGGGGGTATGGAGGTAGTGGAGTAGTCAGGGCCCAGGCATTGGGCAAGAAGAGTCCGCAGCTGGAGCCGGAGGGTTCGATTCTTTTTAAACAGCGCGAGGAACTGCCCTTGATACACCCTTTGGCGCGATAGAAAGAAGGGGTAAAAGATGCTAATAAAGCTAGTAATGAATGTGAAATTGACCATATGCCACCTATTTATCGAAATGGAAATCTAAAAACTGGGGACAATAACATCCTACAGTAAGGACCATTTAGCAACTCAAGGATTTCATCTTAGGGCGCTGTGCGAGCCCACTAGCTCAGTGGGTTCAACCCGTAACACCCACTTCTAAAGACCACAAATCCCAGCCTGACGGCGATCCGTGCGCATGCGGCCTGACGACCTACGCCTACATTTCCCAGCGGGCTGAGCGGCTACGCTGACGCGCGCGTGCGCCCTTGCGTTTCTCCCCCTAACTCAAGTTTGACCTACAGCCACCGGGAGAAGATGGCCGTCCCAGCAGTGTCCGGGCTGTCCCGGCAGGTGAGACAACGGAGGTCCTGAAAATTAGCGAGAGGATCTCTCCTAGGGTGAAACGTTCCAGGTCGCTAAGGGCCACCGGGTGAGGCCACAGCTGGGGAAGCGTGGCCGCCGTTCAGCGTTGTGGGGCCCCGCGAGTCGGGGCGACACAAAGCGGCTCAGGCGGCCGTGCCTCCCCTCTGTGGACGCCCGCGGGGCAGGGGGCGCAGGGTGACGCCCTTGGATGGTGCCTGACCTCGTCCCCCGAGCACAGCCTCGGGAAGCAGGTAGCTTGAGGAGCCCGGAGGGGGCGGGCAGGGCGGGCTTCCCTGGACCACGAAGAAAGGACACGGCCCACCGCCAAGTCACTTAACTTTTGTCGTTGTGGTCAAACCTGTCAGGGGTCACCAATAATGCTAAGGATTATTTGTAAAGCCCATTTCACATAAAGAAAATGAGATGGAAAAGTTTAAATGACTCGTCCTTGGCAGCTCAGCCAGTAAGGGGTAGGTAGGAGCTGAGATTCGAACCCACACAGTCACACAGAAGATGGAGTTGGAAGGAAAATTCGTGCTCTTTATACTACATATCAACACTGTGCTTTGCATGTCATGACCCCTTGCAACTTAGGTAAGTTTTCTCTAAGTAATAAAGTCTTTCAATCCCCACAGCCAGTTGGTATAGTACACAACAGAACTGAAATTATTTAAAGGTGACCTGTGCCCTTGCAGGTTTTTTAAACAATGGGTTCCAGCTCTGTTCCTTGGTAGACAAGATACCGTTTCTCAGAGCCAGGGCCTGTGCTCACATCAGAGTGCTGCAATACTCTGGATTAATCTTTATTTTCCTATAGCATTTGGAGTCTAAGAAAATACATCTCTTGCACATCATGATTGGAATCTTCCCACTTTTTATTAAAATCCTTGCTCACGGGTGGTAATATAAATGCCAAAAATCTTGCGTTGGTTTTTTTTTGAAACCTGTATTTCAGCCAGATTTGAGTTTTCTCTCTTACACTGGTGTGCTAGCCTCACCCTGTTCCTAGTAAACGAAGGAGTTGGTGGGAAAGCAAATTTCCCAGGCAACTAGGGATGATTCTCAGTGGGGAAATTTACTCCTAGGTAATAAAGAGCATCATGTAACCTGTGTGATGATAACTCAGAAACTAATAATTTAAAATGTTTTATTATTGTTTTAAAGGTGCGATGCTTTAGTATGACTGTCGTCAGGCCGTTTTCCAAGCTCGTGCGGGTATGTCAGCTTTTGTAATTAATTCTAAAATAGATGAAAGTGTGTGAGTCGAACAGCAATACAGTTAGGGCATAGACTTTTGTATAAGTACTACCTAAACCTTTCTGCATGATTTGTGGTTTCCAAAATGTGATGTGTGCATGGGGGTAGAGAATAGGATAAGTTGAATGCCTGGTGTGCAACAGGCCCCTGCATAACCTTTGTGAGAATTTCTTAAAACCCCATTACAGTGATGGAAAGTAGCTGGTCTTCCCGTTTACAAAAAAGGAAACAGACTCTGGGAAAACCTGCCCAAGGTTACTCAGCTTGATCCTAGAGCTGGACTGGAATTAAATCTTTCTCATTCAGAGCCTAAGCTTTCCCACTTCGACCATATAGCACCGTCAAGCTTATGTAGTCATATGTTGATGATAGTGTGTACAAAAAAGTCTACAGTCTTTTGTGAAAAATAATTCAAGCATCAGACACTCAGTAAGTTGCTAAAGAGCTCTATTAAACTGAACATTGAGGAGGAGGCACCATAGGGGAAATTTATGATGTTACTATGAGGTATATAAATATATACTTGTATATGTTTAATAAATACCTGTTTTCTTGGCTCTAACATGCAACACTGCCTTCTGTCAGTGTTTAAAATCTCCAGTACTTGGAACTGATTAGTTACTGAGTTCAAAGGAAGCATAAGCGCATCTCAGAATTAACGTAACTGATTTATATAGTTAGAGCTGAAAGGGACACCCTGTTTCCTCAGCAACTCGTTTTGAAATGAGAAATTGATAGCCTAAAGATGGAGTGACCTGGCCAAGGAAACAGCCCTGACTTGTTTGAGAATTGCCATTCAGAATTGCTCTTTATGACATATTTAAACTGTTTTGTGCTATAAATGATGTCATTTTTTAAATATAAATATTTAATCCTCCTATTGGCAGTATGATCTTGTCTTAAGTGATTTTCCTTTTCTCTTCCTCCCCTACCCCATCCTTTTTTTAAAGCCACCTGTTCAGGTATATGGTATCGAAGGTCGCTATGCCACTGCTCTTTATTCTGCTGCATCTAAACAGAATAAACTGGAACAAGTAGAGAAAGAATTGTTGAGAGTATCAGTAAGTAGCTTTTCTGTTCATTTCTTACTAAATTTCCTTCATACGTTTTTTGCTTTAGTTATTTGGCCATGTATCCCTAATGAGGTATATTATATCCTAAGAGAAAATGGACTACAAAAAACAAAGAAGAGAAAGAAAAAAAAAAAGACCTGTTTTCTGTAATCATGTTGATAGTGATAGTAGTGGAAATCATTATTCTGAACCTATTGTGTAATAGGTACAGATGGATACATATCAGGATATTAATATTAGGAACCAAGACTTGGGGCTAAGAGAAGAAATAGAAGTCACCTTTGAAAATCTGTGTTTGTTTTCAGGTATTTCCAAAATAGTCTTTAGAATGTATTATAACTTGCTTTACTAGGAATTTATGAAGCCTTTTCTCCGTTTCAATTTTTAGTTTATTCCCAAGATGTGAGGGGAAAATGACCAAGCAGAGCACACTGAGCAGCAAAATTAGGAAAGCTGTATGGGCTCCATAATGATACTGGAGAACTGACAAAGATCATGAAGCTTACAGGGGAAAGTTTATTTTTACATTTTTCAACATAAAAAGAGAAAATTAATTGAATTAACAGAAGCCTACTGTGTAACTTAAAGAGGAGAATCTCTGCTGTAATTTTAACTCCGTTTTGTTGCTTCCCCTTCTCTTTTTGCTTTGTGGTTGCCACCTCCAACAGTAAGTTCTGGATTAAAGAAGGAGAGGCTAGTATATATCTCCAGAAAGAGTTTTGCTTTTTTTTGGTTTTATATTTTAAGATGTTCTTGTATTTTTAATCCACTTATTTCTAAAAAATTTTTTTTTTATCTTATTGAAGAAAAAACCCTCACAGGCTGGTCACATAGGATAATACGTATTTTGTTCATTTTTCATTTTAAGCTTTTTATCGGACTTTTGTCCTAGCAGGCAGTAATGTTGGCTCTCTGTTCCTCTCTTTGTCCAGTTATCTCTACAGATAATGCTTGCGGTCTTAGTTGGTGTGATTATGACCCACACAGAGCCAACAGCCTTACTGTTGGAGACGCTTGGGAGAAGGGTAGCAAGGGAAGGCAGAATCACACACGGGGAATTTGGGAGGTGATAATTACTGCCCGCCAGTTGTCATTTATGCCCATTGTAAACCTGAACAGTGGTGTTCACGGTGGAGAGCGAGGCCTGGGTTGTGGTCATTAGAATGGGATTTGCCTAAAACCTGGAAATCAGTTAAGACACGGAACGTAGAAAGGAGGCAGTTACCTTAAGACGCGGTAAAGCGTTAGCAGTGTTCTGGTGCTGAGAGGAACGCGTGACGCCATAGAGATGCCACGAGCTGCGGCAGGAAAAGATGAGAAACATGAGAAACGCATTCCCCTAACACCCGAATGCTTTTCATTGGTGTACGTCCGCAGTTTTTAGGGGGAAATACTGTTTCTATGGAGTCACTCAAATAGAAGTGTTAGCCTGACAAGCAGCCTGGATTAGAGACAGAATTCCGGCCAGGAGCCGGGGACAAGGGCCTACCGGAGCTGGTAAACTGAAAGGTATCCAGATGGAAACAGCCGTTGGATCGTTGAACTCTGGCCTGATACTAAGGGGAGCAAGGTGCCGGAAGCTCCCCTGGGTCACTGAAAACAGACATTTATGAATTAATAAAATGGAGACGCGTGGTGTCGCTCCTGGTAGCTGCACTCACACTGTTTGTCCACTCTCCCTCCCAGACTGACGGAGGCTGCTCTGGAAACACCAGAGGGGTCTCTCGGGGCTCTGTAAGAGGCAGGACAGCGTCAGGATCAGTCTGAGACCGAGGCCACTGGAAAGGGCATGACAGGGATGCCTCCTTTGCTCTCAGAGCACCTTTTTAGGTCTGCACGTGAGCGTTGGCATCACTGGCCTCCTCGTAGTATGTGAAAATCTAGAGTATTACCCGTATTAAATGCATTAACATATGCAGTTCATTGAATCTTTTGGCTGTTTAATTTTTTCTAATCTCTCTTAAAAAGCAAATATAAATTTAAGAAACTTTATAAAGTGTTTTTAAATTCTTTCAAGAAATACCATTATATCCTGTGTAAAATCAAGGTACGGTGTGTTCTCAAAGGCAATGAAAATTACTTGATTGTAAACTTCTCTTCATGTGTGCTTGAGTGCTGATCTAATTAATGGAATACATGATTCATAAGAAAGTATGTTGTGGCAGTTAGGATCATTTATGCTTTAAAGAGTTTAAGAAATTATTTTTTGGTACTTTTAGCAAATCTTGAAGGAACCCAAAATGGCTGCTTCCATTATGAATCCCTATATAAAGCGTTCCGTGAAAATGAAAAACCTAAATGACGTGAGCACAAAAGAGAGGTTCTCTCCTATCACATCCAACCTGATCAGTAAGTATTAGATCTTTTCCACTGAAGTCCCTGAAAATCTTGTGACTGAAAATGTGGTCCATGGACCAGGAGCATCAGCATCCCCTGCCTTTTGGCAGTGAAGCACCTCAGGACTTAGCCAGCCTGCTAAATCAGAATCTGCATCTTAACTAACTCCCCAAGTGAATTGTTTGCGCGTTAAAGTTTGAGGAGCACTGTCTGAAGGATGTTAAGATGTAAGAAAGCAGTTGCAGTCAGTACTTTGTCTGGAGAAGACCAGTGGGATTCACACCAAGAAAATGGTTTGTAGCCAGTGGTTGTACCTCGGTCCTTGAAGACATTTGCATTCTTTGGTGCATTTGGCTTGCTTTTGAAGTCTCTTGGTCAACCAGAATACGAGCTCCAAAGAAAATGTGTTCATGTCGTCATCTTTGAATATAGATGTATGTTAATTTGAGGTTAGATTCCAACCAGAAATAGGAGAATCAGATTGCAGGCTTGGATGAAGATTGCTGCTGCAGACCTGTGAGACCTCCCCCCACACCCACCTTACTAATTTAGATGTGAATCAGTGCTGGTTCTTTCAAATGCTGAATATACTTTTTAAATAACAAGTTGCGTCGCCTTTATTCACATTCTTGAAGGATGTTGAATATGGCATTTTAAGGCCACAAATCTAAGTTTGCTTTTGAGGTGAATATAATACCTCATGAATAACGTGTTTTGAGTTTCATATTACTAAGACACTTTACCTTTCCCAGATTTGCTTGCTGAGAATGGTCGCTTGAACAATACCCCTGGAGTCATTTCTGCCTTTTCGACCATGATGAGCGTCCACCGTGGAGAAGTACCGTGCACAGTGACCACTGCATCTGTAAGTGACACCCTGTTGCCACTAGATTTGCTTTGACATGCCATGCATCACATTTTGCATAACGAAAAGAAAAAAACAGGCTGAAATCCAGGAGTTGGTAAAGGTGACTTGTTGCTTAGGAGGTTCGCTTCAGGTCTTAAACAGTTGCGCTCTGGAAGGGCCAGTGTGGATCTTCTTAGTGCCTCCCTAACCAGTGACTACTCAGAAGGACCATACTAGGTTAGAATATGTTAGGAAGTAGTGGTTATTTTCCTTTTACAGCTTTCAGTTATTTTGTAAATACCTTAGTAAGTAGGCTTCTGGAACTAGAGTGTCTCATCTTCTGTGGTGGTGAATGGGAGGGTAGGGCACATAGGCCCTTTGATCTTGTTGGCATTGCTGGAGTGGGCTATAATGACACCATTTTTCGAAACCTACTGTGTGCTAGGTACTTTATAACTTATTATTTTAATATCAGGGTTCTAGGTGAGGTAGAATTATCCTTGTTGTATAGATGAGGAAACCCAAGGAAATTAAGTTGCTTGCCCAAGGTGACAAAACATGGAATCAGGATTTGAACATAGGCCTGTCTTTCAGAAGTGCATGTTCCTTAAGCAACACTTATGTCCCCAGAATTAATTTTGTTGATGTCTTAAATACATGTTTCCTTCCTACTGCAGTTGAATCGGTGCAGGAAAACAGCCTGTGGGGCTTAATTATCAGTAGAGGATGGTAGGTTGGCTTGGAAAATACACAGCACCTGACCTCGTCTAGATTAATATTTCTGGTGTTTAATAGATATTCTGACTCTCCGAAAAAGCACAATTTCAAAGAGACAGTTTAGCACATAGTAACATTTGCACACTTGTAGCTCAATAGTTGGTGCCACCGAAGCACGTAACTGGCCGAGAATCATTGACGCTCAGGCCTTCGTCTGAGCCCACTGGGACCGCAGCAGCTCCCCCTGACAGGGGAGCCCAGACGAGGCTTCACCCGGCACATGGCCACACCGTCCCTGTGGCTAAGCCCTGGTACAGGTCACTCAGATTACAAGGACATGATTTTTTTTAAAGGGTGCATATTTGGGGCGCCTGGGTGGCTCAGTCGTTAAGCGTCTGTCTTCAGCTCAGGTCATGATCCCAGGGTCCTGGGATCGAGCCCC